TTTTTTTTATTAAATACTAATAATAATTGTTATATATAATATTATAAATAGGGGTGAGTGGGGCACGACGACCAGCCTGGGCACAACGGACGTTTCATTAATAAAATAAATCGATTTGGTGGTTAAAAGCCACCCTCCCCTACAGGTAATAAAATTCCTAAATTAATCCATATTTTTGGCGCTTCTGTAAATTATCCACTTAGACCTACTGCTTTTTTTTTCTAATAAATTTAAGCATATGCACTATATCACCTAAAAACACTTAAGTATATCTTTAGCTGCTTAGTCCAAAATAAAAGAATTAATGTTTCAATTTATAAAAATATATCTTATATATGCTTAAAAACCATTCAATATTATAGAGTATTTGTTTATTTTACTCGATTCTGTGCAATAGCGACTTGTGCCTTCACCTTTCATTAATAGACGTTGGTCGAATACTTAGAATATATTTATGCATACTGCTGCTAGCTTAACATTGTATTTTATTTTTAAAACATCTTAAAAGACTGATCAGATGCACACCTGATTTTTCGAACGGTTCTAAAAAACCCCGACATTATATAGTTTTCTGTTCGCCTGATACGAAACCATATACTGGAAGCCGCCAGCACACTACTTCTTTGGTGCTGGTGGCCGGATCCAAACTAATACCAATGACATTTTCATGCTACAAAGTGACCTCGCTCCATGGCTTTCGTGTTTTCCCAGATAAGAAATAAGAAGTTAACGCAAAACGACAGGTAGGTTATATTGAGCGCTGCGAAATGTGCTTCTAATCTCACGCTAAGTTCCATCTAATTCAGAAAATATCGAGTGGCACACATTATAACATGAGTAGTTTATAAAATATTTATCCACGCACCTAAGGATAAAATGGAACATGAAGTGGGGCGGTGCAGAGGGAATTACAGCGACAAAGCAGATTTCTGTATAGACGGGGATTTGGGGAGCTTTTAGATGTAGATGTAGAATTTTTTTAATACTACTCTGAAGCTCCAGTTCTCTTATGTTGTGAGCACTCATTAGAATTTTTATCATTTCGAAGCAGTATTTGACCGTTCACTTTGTGATTTTGTTATTGGCGTTCTGATTATTGTCCACTTTAGTTCTAAAGACTTTTTGTGTATAACTACCTATTATTGTGCCAGAGCCTTCTCTCAATAATCTTGTCGACTGATAAACATATCTTCCCTAGCTTCTACTGTGTATATCAGCAGTATTCATCTTCACATCTTGTTCTTATCTTAATCGGCTCTGTCAAAATCGTTCTATTCTCCTTGAATGGATGACATAATACCCACATACTACCCAACAGAAGTCTCTGTTCTGAATTATTTTACGGATTACCAACCTGGAATCAATGATATATCCACCAATAAAACATGATTCAATAGAATCAAATTATGTAGTTATTACGGTTCCTATTCTAAAATATTTGTTTAGGTTGGCATCATACTATGGGGGGAATACTCTGATCGTTATACTGGGGCACAATTAATTAAAGATGATGGGGTCTATCATTGAACGGTATATTACCTAGTGACGTAATAGATAATGGCTATTCCGATAACAAATAATTCACTGATCGTATTTTAATTGAACGTCAAACAGAAACGTGTCTTGTTTGTCGGTTTTTCTGATTATTTGCCAAACGGTGGAAAGGGCCCCCGTAATTATCTATGTTAACCGCCGTTTATAAATTGTTTGCCCAAGGAGGAAAATATTGATATATCGCCGTCGCGGTCCTTTATATTTGAACTTGTGTTTTTAATTACCTAAATATTGTAGGGGGTTGTCTGTTGCACGGGCAATTACATATGCCCACGATATAAGGGTGGTCTGGTTGAAAATTATGTAGGATATTCCAAAAATCCGTAAAATAAGACTTGCTTTTCGATTTTGAATACAACATATTGAGGATTTTTTATTCGGACCTCCCACCTCAAAAATTTACTCGAAAACTATATGCAAAGTTTTCCTTTTTTAAGGGCCTTAAAGTTGACAAAACTGATAATCTCAAAACCCCCGTGTGACCAATTAAATATATACAAGTTGTGTATTCATGAATTGATATATAAATGGATTATTTTTGTAATGATGATACAAATGTTTTTAAATATTTTCACACAATTTTTTTTTTATTAAATTTTGTTTATTTTAATTGAAAATAAGAAAAAAATAAGTGTAAGTAATGTTAATAAATCTTGAAACCAGGCAAAAAGATAACTTAAAAATTCGGCAAAGGGCAGTATTTCCTTTTTCCTCATTTTTAGTGTTTGTTTTGTGTTTAATCTTGCAATTTGATGAGAATTCCATCGTTATCATAGCCTCCAATTTTGTTTTAAAAAAAGATTATCGAAGAAGGTAGGCACACCAATTTATTTTTTGTCTTGAAAGATGCCTGTAAGACGTTTGCAATAGTTTAATGGTATATTATGAAAAAAATGCGGTAAACGGCATTTGACTCACGAGTTTATTTGACACGAGCGGAGCGAGTGTTTAACAAACGAGTGGCTAAAAAAGTTTACCGAACGTGTTGCATATTATGCTTTTTCTAAGACCGTTAGTTTTTGGGGTATATTTTCTCAAAACAACACGAATACATTGCGACATGACCGAGAGAATTGACAGACGTCAAAATTTAAGACGTGGAAAAAATCTCCGAAAACATCCGATTGCGCCCAAGCCCGTGCAGTAAAATCCCGGAAATGTCCGAAGTGGCTCGGATCCGTGGGAAACGATAGTGACGTGATAAAGTGACGCTTCCCGCACGCTAGGTCGTTGTGTATGCATTTTACAGACGGGAGCAGAAAAAATATATAACACTGTTTATATTAATATGCATTTTGATGTAAGTTTATTTATTATTGGATTATGATTACAAAAAATGTCAAGTTTCAACAAAATATGTTTTTTAAATAAAATTTAAAGCCCTCAGCATTATGAAAATTGGGTCTGAAGAAGAAGAAGAAGTAGGTATCTATTATAGATAAGTTAACCCGTCTTTTAGACTCACCCTGTATGTTGACAAATTAATCAGCACCATATATATTCATGGGTATTTTAGTAGAGAATTTGGTGAGTTTGCGCGCATCCCTCCACATCTCATCTACAAACCTGCACCTTGCGCCATTTTATTTCTTTACGGTGATTTCCACACACTCAACTCGTGTTCCCGGAATATTTAACGAAAACTAGGCATATTTTATCCAAACTTATGGACTATCTGTCATGTTGGTTGTTGAATACCGCAAGGTCATCGGTTAAAAACGAAATCTTTTGAATCTCGCGCATACGCATGATAAATGGAACTTCTCAAAAATTTGTTCATAGTTTCTGTAGTAGTTATATTTTATGATTAGCAATTTTTCTGTGAACTGAATTAAATCATTTTAATAACAAACTTTGCGAAAAATTACGTTCGCAGTAAATAAGCTTTTGTTGAGGCAAAATGGCCCACATTTTTACATGAATTACATCAATTACTAACCAAAACTATTTGTATTGCCGCCATGCTGATTGTGAAGGTGGATAATAGATAAATTATTATCTAAAATCTTGTGTGTTTAGAAATTAATTTATTTAATATATAATAGATCCCTCAAGCTTAAAAAGTGGAAAGTTAACATTGTTGAGTCTAAGGAACCTATCGTTCTTCAAGTAAAGGTCACATTGTTCCTATTCAAGAAAATAAATTTAAAGTTAGGATTATTTTAGTCATTTGCTCAGATAGAAGAAGCTATAAGTGCAAAAAACATTACAATTCTATTGTAGAAGCTCCCATAGTCACTAAGGTTATACCTACATTGCTCTTGCTCTTGCATAATGAACACAAGAGTATTTGTTTTAATAAGCAATAAAAAAGTTGCCCATATTTTGCCGAAATCGTAAAATTACTGCCTAGCAATTCGCTGGTGACCGATCCAAATGGGTCGAGTACCAACAAGTAGCTACGCGAAGAAACCGACCTGAAGATAGCAAATTTGAGTTTGCTACTTTCGCTACATTTCGTTCAATTAAATATTATTGTTCGCATAATGTAAATTAATTTTACATTGCTCGAAATAAATATTTCACTTTTGTTAATTCAACGAAAAGTTCTCGCAAATAAATAATAAATATACCTTTCCTTCCTTTAATGTAGTGTAAGACTGTGTGTAGTGTAAGACTGGCGAATATAATTTTCTTGCAACAAATATATTTTAGTTGAGATACGAATTAAATTGCTTAATTAGAACAAATGTGCTTTATTCTCATGAACTAATTCTTTTTCTCTGTGCAGGAACATACGCAAAAAATTTAAAAACCAGGAGAAATTGAAGGAAAAATAAAGGCGCAACGAGATAAAGAATTGAAAAGAATAATAATTTATCACCGGCAAGTATTCAGAAACGTTCTTAGAAAACATGAAAACCTTTATTATGGCACCTAAGTTAATGTATTAAATATTTTGTTAACGGTGTATGTGTTTTTATAAAATTTTATTCGAATTTTACTTCAAAAATATATGCCCTAAAAGAATGTTAGCATTTTATTTCATTAAATTGCTTAATACTAACAGGATAACAAAAATACAAAGTACCGTATATCAACGAGCAGCACCAACATACGATACACACCCACCTGTGTCCCCGCGAGCCCCCCGCGAAAACCACGCCAAAGCCCATCCCCCCCCTTCCGAGTCTCATCCACGACGGCTCATCCCCCACGAGGTAGATGGTCGCGGCTTTCCCCTCGCCGCGCGAACCCTATCGACCCGATGCTCCGCAGGATGCTCTTTATCTAGACCCCGCGCGCTCTATGTATTCTCCTGCTGCCACAGAGGGCGCGCCGTCGACGAAACAACGGAAAATCAAGCGACGCAGTGACAAAACATGACAGCGGTCGCCTATTGGCCGCGGCAGGAAAACGGAGAAGAGGAGAGAAAAAAAAGACGGCAGTATGGAGAGTGACAAGTGCGGGGGAGAATCTGTGTCTTATTGTCTGCCCAAGTTTTGCGAGTGAGACGGTGGATGTATCGCGAACCGAAACGTCGTGCTCGCGAACTTTTCGTCGAAATAGTAGCGATTCCTAAAAAAGCCAGCAGACAAGGCAGATGAAGACGAGTTGGCTGTAGCTTCTCGACGACGGCCGGCACAAAACAATGAGGTCTAAATCTGTCGCTAGAAGGGTGACTTCTCAAGGTAAGTGGTTTTACCCCACTTTCACGGTTATGTCGAATTGTTTTGCATTTAAAATTGTACCGGAATTTTCCTCATAGGAATTTATTGCTCTGTAATTGCCATCTGTAATATTTGTTTTATCTCTTGCTTTAGACAGTGAGCATCGACTTCGTTTTGCTCGTTATTTTATGAAAAATTCGTGGAAGCTGTTTTTGATTGTACCTCTCGCATTTCCCATAATATCTTTAAAAATATGCGGAAAAACTGCGATTACTTACGTCTTGCATTTTTTATTTGCTCTCTGGTATTTACGTATATTAGTTTCCAAAGTTTATAAGAAAATGATAAACAAAAAAGTTGTAAAGATTGTTAAGAAGCACAATTTAAAATTACGTTGAAATATACAGGGCGCCTCAAAAAACGGAGCCGGATAAAACACACTTTTTTAAATAAATTCATAAGATTTATTGTCCTGTCAGTAAATAAATAAAAACTGAAAACTGAATTAATTCATAAGATGTTGGCTTAATCCATTCTGGGTGTGGGAAATGCAAAACTAAAACCATTGGTCATTTAATATGTGGTGTGAAATAATTTTTTTTTAAGTTATTAGACCCTGTTTTAGCAAGCCACTTAACGAGCCCAGATGCAGAAAGATTTACCACAATTGAGATGCAACAATTGTAGTTTCGACAAGATGGAGCTCCTCCGTATTACCATCGAAAAGTTAGAAAATTTTTAAATAATCATTACCAACAGAAATGGATTGGTACAGGTGGATTCATTGGAGTGTTAAAGATCGTATTTATGGGAAACCTTTATAAGCAATACCAGAAGTTGTGCAAAATAGGATCCAGAACGACAGGAGAATAACACCGTTTATACTAGAAAGAAGAACATTTTTGCATATTTTGAACATTTTTTATTTAAAAAAGGTATTTAAATTTCTTGAAATTTCATTGAATTTAAAATTTGGTAGTTATTTTCTCCAAAATTGCTAGTAACTCTCTGCTGCTTTGTCTACATCTCCAAGTTCTTTCTCCTGTTCATTTTCAGAATCCTGTTGGCTAATGGTTTTGTCATTTCCAACTAATATTATAGCAATAGTCTTAGCCAGAAAGAAGGGTAACTATTGCAAAAGTGAAAATAAATCGCGAAGTATTAAAAATAGGTATATGACATACTTGACAAAAGGTATTTGTGAGATCTTTCAGAAAAAATATATAAATTTAGGAAAATTGAGATTTTTCAATTTAAAATGATACAAATATATTCGTTTATTTTGAAACTTTGTAGCCTTTCATTAAATTCCGTTTCCGTTTCTTTTACGCCACCTTCAAAAAATTTTTTTTAGAAAAATTAAAATATTGGAAAAAGTATTAGGTTTGGGTATGTATATGTATGTACGTATATGTACGTAATAACAAAAGTCGAAGAATTTCAAAACGAATTTAAAAAAAAAACTTTAAAAATAGGGTGCATGTTTTATTCGTTACGTTTTTTTTGAACCGACCTGTGTACTTTAAAATATTTTTAAATTGTGCATTCTAACAATCATTTCGATCATCAACTTTTATATTTACCATTTTCTCATAACTTTTGAAACCAATGAGATAATGAAGTTTATTCTTTCGTTCACTCACCCTGTATATATCTGATCCAAAAATTGTTTTAAAGGTTTTATTTGTGATTAAATAATGTTCGATAGATAACCCAAACCACTTCAAAAAACAATTTTATGATATACTTAAGCGTTCATTCTTCTAATTTCTAATTATAATTTTAATTTCCAGAGTGGGAGAATCTACGCCTAAACCGCATTTCTATATAAAATCTTTTTGTTATAAGGTACGATAAACCCTGTATACAATTTTAAAAAAGTGTTGGAATGAAAACATAAAGTCGAAAAAGTTACAAGATTTTTGTAGCTTTAATTTTTGTGACAGCTCTATAGACACAATTCGACAGCATTGGTGAGCTTTAGACTCGCTTTCTGAACTGAATTTTTAATCACCCCGTGCTAGTATCATTTTTAAAAAAAGTAAATGAATCTCGAATATACAACGATTTACTGAAAATGTACAATATATTTTTTTAAATATTTAATACAAATGCCTTCGCAAGTCACCTATTGTATAATACGACTTCGTTTACCTAATATATAGTAATAACAATTGGCGCCCAAAATCCTTTTCTAAATTCAAACGCATAAGGCATTAATTGTAGTGAAAACTATCAAGTACTCTGCAGACTGGGTCCTAAAACCGCAGCTGCAAGAAACAATAAAAATTTCGAGATCCAAAGAACGATAAATTATACTTAAAAACAAAAGATTCTGTAAGCCCGAAGCTTATATCAGAGGCTGCTCGGACTGCGCTCGTTTGGTATATATAATATAAACAATCACGTCATTTTGACGCTTTTTAAAAACTTTTCCGCTTCATTTCATTATTTATTAGCCTAATGTGATTACAATATATCCAGTTGTGCCTGCGTTTGTCAAAGTTACCATGTTATTGCATTTCTTCGTTCCGTTTTTTTAATCTTTAATTTTACCATCGGGACGTATAGTCGCTTATATTTACGCTAAGTGTGCAAAATATAAAAAAAAGAAAAAGTCAAAATGATTAATTCAGATTTTAACATTTCATTATTTTTATTTAGGTTCTGTTAATTATAAAATTGGAACTTAATAAATCATGTTTGTTTCACGTGACATCGGCGTTCATTATTTTATTGGAATTCACCAAGAGAAAATAAAAGCTTCATATTTTACAGAATTTAAAACAAAAATAAATTTATACCAGTATAAGACACAAATATATAAAAATAGTGAGGTCTTTTTAGCTGTGTCACTCGAAACATAGGATATTTTTAAATTTTAAAAGATCTTTTCAAATATTGTCAATGTTTCACTAGAGTAGAATGTTCACTACTTCTTACTTTCAAATTTGAAAGACGTTTTAGATGTAAACGCAAATGTTAAATATAAGACGCCATCTTGGTTTTTGACGTAAACAAATAGCATCCAAAGTAGCCAAAGCCTTATATTTTTGAAATCGAAATGGTAACAAGATAGCGTCGTTCCGAGCTAATTCGTCCCAAGTTACATAGAAAACATCTTTCTAAATTTAAAAACAGCAATTAGGAAAGCTTTTTTTTTTCTTTAAATGTTAGTTATTGTTAGTAGAAACGACGAATACATATTATATAAGATAAACTATAACGTAGAGTGTAATGTATATGACGATGCTATCGTTTCGCTCATAATGATTGTACATACGCTATTAGATATATTACAAGCAAAAATCTAAAGCAACAAAAGACAATAACAAATATTAAAATATAGTCTAGTTTGAAGCGATGGCCTGTGGTTAAATATTAATGCGAGAATTTCAGTGCCCGACTGCCCCCCCCCCCCCTCTTTTTTCAAATAAAAAAAGGACGCCACTGTTCAGAACGAAGAAGAATCGTCATCCGGCGTTACAAAACAATAGTAAACAATCCTCCTCTTTTAATCGCGACTTTTGCGTATCCGGTATCCTCATCAAAAAACTTAATGGGAAACATCGCCGAAAGGGCCTTTAGATATCTTAGACAGATTATATTCTGGACGCATCTTGCCTACCTACGGTATCACTTTACATCGCGGCCGAGATTCTATATATAGGTACCGTTTTGTCTTTCTATTCGGGATCTTCAATGAATATCCTGGCCATTCACGACACTCGCGTTTAATTGTACTAGAAAGCCGCAAGAGTTCGAGGACTATGGGATACTATCTCTTTGGGGGAAGTAGGGTCATTGAATAGACATTCAGAAGTGTTTTTCACCGCATTTTCAGAAAATTCACCGCTGTGCGACTAGTATAAGCCCTGCAAATTTTGCATTTACAATTTTTTATAATGAAGTTAAAAATAAAATACTAAAATGAAAAATAAAAAAATAGCCCTCTCCTCAAAACGGAGGTGTTAACTCAAGTAAATAAACGAGAAATTTCAGTAATTGCAGATACACTGAAAATATTCCCGAATATGGAGACATTATTTTGAGTTTTTATTTCTTTGGCTGACTTATGTTGGGAATAAGATCGAAATGCGGTTTTCACTGATGTGGTGGTTATCTTTTGTTGTAATAAAAGTGATTGTATTTAATATTTTATTTGTAGTGAAGTCGCAAAACGCCCTCTAGCGGCGATACAAATAATTGAAATCAATCTGCTCAGGGCAGAGTTTATGTCCTAACAAAAGCCCTTTTCAAGAACTCCAAATGCGTTCAGCCATTTTGAAGTTATTGACATTTATTTCTCTAGTTCTCAAAAGACTGGATTTACAATTCAAAAATGTGATTACGTCCTCTGGCGCCTCTTCTATAAACTTAAAAATAATTTTCAGCATTTTCACTTAGCTTCTTTGGCCATAAGGTATTTCACCCCAAGTCTTTACAATTCCTTTTCGAAGGAGTGTCGAGTGCCTTTCTTCTTAATTGGACACCATTTGTATGATTTTATTTGAAGAAATATAATATTTTCTATGTTTAGTATTTGATTGATTATTCATGTTACTAATTTTAGGACATCCTGTATTGTTGTCATAGTTTTTGAGTTAAGGCAATTTATTTCTGATGTAACAGTGATGGCCGCACATAAAATTTTAACAAAATGCATATATTTATTATACAAAGTGGAGCGGATGCATAAAACGTATATCTGCGGCCATAAACACCTTACGATTATGTGCAACGTGCTTATTGCAAAAAACCGATAAAATCCATATCTGCAGAAAACGCGAAACAACATTTCCACTCCATACTCGCGATAAGCGAACAATTTCCACTTAGGATTTTATTGAGTTTTATCCGAAAAATAATGCAATGTTCGCCTTTACTACTTTTTGTAAATCGGAATCTGATGATGAAAGTTGGGCGTTATCGAGACGAAACTGCGAAATTGAAACGAGTCATGCAAAAGTTGCTCAATTTTAAGAGCATACTTTAAAATTGTTTAGAATTTGACAGTTAAT